CACACTGATAGTGGAAGACCTTACAATTCAACTATCACCAATGGATAGGTCATTAAGACAAAAACTAAACAGAGAAATGATGGTGCTAACTGATACTATAACTGATACTATAAACAAAATAAACACACTCTACCAAAACACAAAAGAATATACCTTCTCTACACCTTACAGAACTTTCTGCAAAATTGACCACGTACTCATACACAAAGCAAGTCTCAACAGATACAAGAAAATTGAAATAACTTCATGCACTCTATCAGGATACCATGGATTAGAGCTGTATATTATCAACAACAAAAACAACAGCAAGCTTACAAACTCATGGAAACTGAACAACTATCTACTGAATGAACACTGGGTCAAGACAGAAATAAAGAAAAATATTAAAAACTTTCTAGAATTTAATGAAAATAAATATACAACATACCCAAACTAATAGTAAACAATGAAAATGATTCTAAGAAAAAAATTCAAATCACTAAGAGCCTAAGTAAAAAATTTCATTCTATCAACTTAACAGCACACATGAAAGCTCTAGAGCAAAAATAAGTAAGCACACATGAGAGTTGTAGACATCAAAAATAACTAAACTTAGGGCTGAAATAAGTAAAATAGAAGCAAAAATAATTATATAAAGATTCAATGAAGCAAAGAGGTGGGTTTTTTTTGAGAAAATCAACAAGATAGACAAACTCTTATTCAAATTAACTGAAAGATAGATAATATCAAATTTAACAAAATCAGAAAAAAAAGAAGAGAGAAAAAACAACAGACACTAAGGGCATACTTTAAAATCCTGTACTCGGCCAAATTGGGAAATTTAAAAGAAATGCATAAATACTATAAGAACCATTTGCCAAAGCTAAATCAAGATCAGATAAATAATTTAATTAGACCAATCACCCCTACTGAAATACAGTCAGTCTCCAAACCAAATATAGCCCAGGGCCAGGCAATTTAAGTACAGAATTCTGCCAGACTTTCAATGAAGTTTTAATGCCAATACTCCTAAAATTATTCTAAAAAATGGAAACAGAAGGAACATTGTCTAATTTATTTCATGAGGTCACAGTTACTCTGATACATAATCCACATAAACACTGATCAAAGAAAGAGAATTATGGAAAAGTCTCCCTTATGATGCAAAAATACTCAATAAAATACTTGCAAACTGAATCTAAGAACACATCAGAAAGATCATCCACCATGATCAAGTAAACATCATCTCAGAGATGCAAGGATGGTACAACATAGGAAAATCATGTAATTGTGATCCACTGTGTAAATAAGTTGAAAGAAAAAATAACATGATCATCTCATTAGATGCTGAAAAATCCTTTGATAAAATCCAATACCCCTTCATGATAAAAGTACTGGAGAGATTAGGAATACTTACCTAATGACATACCTAAATATAGCAAAGGCAAAATATACAGCAAAATGATAATCAACATCAAATTAAATGAAAAGAAGTGCAAAGCAAGTCTACTAAAATAAGAAGGAATATAAGACTGTCCAGTCCCTCCATTCAAGTATTATTCAATATAGTACTTGAAGTTTTAGTTACAACAATCAGACAAATGAAGCATACCAAGGGAATATAAATCTGAAAGGAAGAAGTTAAAGTATCATTATTTGCAGATTATATGATAGTATATACATAAGTGACCTAAAACCTAGGGAACTTCTACAGCTGTTGAACATTTTCAGCAAAATGGATGGATACAAGAATAACTAATAACTAATAATACTATGTAGCCCTCATGTATTTAAATGAAAACTGGACTGAGAAAGAAATCAGGGCAACAACACCCTTCACAATAGCCTCAAATAATATAAAATATCTTGGTGGTACCCTAAACAAGCAAGTGAAAGACTTGAATGATAAAAACTTCAAGTTTTGAAGAAAGAGTTTGAAGAATATATAAGAAGATGGATAGATATCCCATGCTCATGGATTATACGATTAACATAGCAAAAGTGGCCATCTAATCAATAGCAATTTATGGATTCAATGAAATGCCCATCAAAATTTCCACACAATTTTTAACAGACCTTGAAAGGGCAATACTCAACTTCATATGGAAAAATACAAAACCCAGGGATAGCTGAAACAATCCTGAACAATAAAAGAACTGCTAGAGGCACCCAACTCCTTGATGTCTGTCACTTGGTGTAAGATTTCTCCACCACCAAGGGCTAAAATCAAACCAATCAGGGTGAATATTTCTTGGCATCGTTGGATAATGAAGAACAAATTACCAGATGGTCAATCTGCAGTATCTTCAGAGAAATAGTGTTCAGAGATAAGAGGTGGTGGTGGTCATAATAAAAGTTAAATTATACTGGGTATGGTAGCACTTGCATGCAATCTAAGAACTTATGAAGCTGAAGCAGGGGGATACTAAGTTTGAAGACACTGTTTAGATTTCATAATGAGACATTTTCTCAAATAAGTGTGATGAATTTGCTTGTGCCAGCTCTTCTAAAATCTAAAGTCCAAAAGGTTAGGAAAAATAGTTCTTATGTATGGTTGCTTGTCAACAACTAACTGTATAATCTTGGTTCCTACTTACATTCTGATATTATATTTGTTTGGGACATAGACATAGTTCACCTCAAGATCATGGTGTTAAGATCCAAAGAAGTTCAACACCAACAGACATGCTATCATGGAAGCAGGGAATCTCATGCAGCCCCCATCTTAAACATAACTAAAGGTAACTAAGGAATGCTTAGTTGGAGAAATACTGTGTGCCAGTGAACTCTTTAGGCCAAAATAAGCAACCAAAAAATAGAGAAAGTGGCTCATGGGTCAGGCATGCCTAATATCTATCTGCTCTACTTGCCTTATGGGTAATGTCTTTGCAGCTCAAGAGTGCTGTTTGAATTCCTTTGTCAGAACTGTTCAAAAATTAGCCATAAAGCTTTAAAAACAACAACAACAACCAAAATTACTCCTGTTTCAAAAAGAAACTTCTTAACAAACTGTAACTGGAGATGCCTTCAACCTGGTAAAGAACTTTTATCAAAGCCTCCTTCTAATATGACATCTAATGATGAGAAATTACACACTTTCTCCAAAATCTAACACAAAACACAATGTGTGGTTTGGTGCTTCTAATCAAAAAACACTCTGAAAAAGACCAAAAAGGAAGTGAAAATTATCCAATTAGGAAAACAAGCAGTGTTTTCTTCATTAGCGTACATAAAGTCTATAATTATGCTGCTACTTTCTGTGGCTTGAATGTAAAATGGAATCAATGGGTTTGTTTGAGGCTTGGTACTCAGATGAGATGGGCCTTAAGATGGGCCTAAATGGAGGGGTGGGTCCCTGCAGGCAAACCTGGAGGCTGCTATCCCAGTCTACATCTTGTCTCTCCTCCACTTCCAGTCTGCAGATGCAATGTAAGCAGCCATCACATCTTCTCCCATTGTGTCTATTACTATGTAGGGATGCCATACCCCTTTCATTGTGACAGGGCACATAGTCCCAATTGAAGCCCAAATAAAAATGTTGTCTATTCAGTTACTTTATGTCAGTGTTGATAAAGGATGTGAGAAATGGACTAAATTACTAAATCTAACTGGGTTTATCATATCCACAGAAAACAAGATTAAATTCAAGATCTAAATATATTTTGTACACTAGTAACAAATAACCAGAAATACAAAAAATGCAACGTATAGAAATACTGAAAAAGATATTTAACAGTAATTGTGGGCAAACTGTATACTGAAAAACTACACATACAATGCAAAGATTAAAAAAGTATTTAAAAATGGAGAAACATGCTTTGTTCATAGATTGAAAGGTACATATGTATGCTAATAGCAGTACAATCCTAACAAATATCCTAACAAGTTTTTCTACAAGTAAACAAACTAAATCTGAAATTTAGAGAAGCTCAATAAAAGATTTTTTGAAAAATAATCACAATGTTGGAAGATTTAATGGTGCTCAAAGTTAAAAATTAAGTACAATAATCAAGATCATGTGGTATTATTGGCATCAAGAAAAACAGGCTAAATTAATGAAATACAATGATCCAAAATTATAATCACATGTATATGATCAACTGACTTTCAACATATACATTAATACAATTGTGGATACAAAGGGTTATATTTTTAAGATAAAAAACTCAAAGTGGATTCTATACATAAATTCACACTTAAACACTATTAACACATCTGAAAGACACATAGCTAGTTCTTGAAACCTTAGATAGAATGAAGAGTTCTTAGATATGATAACAAATACATTATGCATTAACAAAATTATACTTCATTAAAATCGAGAAATTTTAACTTTTATAAGTATTGCTATGTAAATAAAAGTCTAAGACATGAAGTATAAATAAAAGTTATCTATAATGCAATTATCTGATAATTTGTTCTCATTGTATTTCTCAATAAAATGACACAAACGTGTAACTTTTAAAGTGAAAACCTTTTAAAGATATTTCACTGAAGACCATATATGGATAGCAAATTATTCCAAGGGGAAAATGTTGAACAGGAGTATTTTTTAAGAGAAATGTAAGCATTGATGGTCAACCACATTTTGGTAAGTATGGGGTTGAGAAAGTTAAATAATACAAATAACTTGGGCAAACAATTTGGAAGCTCTCCTCCCTCCCTCCCTTCCTCTCCCTCCCTCCCTCCCTCCCTCCCTCCCTCCCTCCCTCCCTCCCTCCCTCCCTCCCTCCCTCCCTCTCTCTCTCTCTCTCTTTCTCTCTCTCTCTCTCTCTAATACAGGATTTCAGTGTGTAGCTCCTACTGGCCTAGAACTTACTATAGAGACCAGGGTGGCCTCCAACTCACAGAGATCCTCTTTCCTTTGCCTCCCCTACTGAGCACTAGAATTAAACATATGTACCACCATAAAAAGCTTGGCTGTTTCTTAAATGTTATACCTGCACTTTACATATAAACAAGATCCTATGTAGTTAGTCCAAAAAATTTAACGCATTAGTAAAGAAATATGTGAACATGAGTGTTTTTAAAAGCTTTATTTACAGTAACCAAACCTTGACAACATTGCAAATATTCAGAAGATTGTGAATGGATAAACAAATTATATTGCATCTATATGATGACATATTAAGTAAGTAGAAACAAAAGAAACTATTGATATATAGTATAATTTAATATATAATATATCAAGTATAACATAATGAAGGAGAATCTAAAAATACTTTCAGTAAGTGATAGAAATAATACAAAAATTGGATACATTATTCCATAACAAATTAATTATGAAGCAACTCTCAGTGGTTGCATGAAAGTGGGTGTAAGTGACTAAAACTTAACATGGAGCAGATATATAGCAAGGTTACAAAGCCCAGAATACACACAGAAGTGGGATCAGAAAGGCTGTAAGAGCCAGAGGACCAGGATGTCAGCTGTGAGAAGCTAAACAATGAAATATCAACAATACAGCTTCCTAAACAAGACCTGAAAATTCCAAGAGTTGACATCCCAGTAGCACAGATAGAGAAAATATCATGGGGCCATGCCCTTAGATGAAGTGTTAGAAACAATTAACAACTGCTGAGAACAGGAGTCAGTCATACTCAGGATGAGCCCCTGATTGGTTATCTAACACTGAGTGGTCAGCCCTAGAAACTCACATGCAGGGAACAGAGACTGAAAGAATTCCACAGATTGTATTTACATGTTTATCCCTTTATATGTGTGTGTAATAACCATGCTTAAAGATGAGGGGGACTCTCATTTTGGATGGTGGACATAGGAGCAATACGAAGGAGAAGGAATAGAAAAATGATGAAATTACATTTTAATTAAAATTTTTTAAATTTCTTAAAATAAAAAAGCGATGTTACAAAGTTTCCAGAGGAAATTTGCAGGTGTGATGGTCATGTTCTGCATCTTAACTCTACAGATGGCATTATGGGTAGATGCATGTTTCAGAACTTACTGAGCTGTACATTCAGTTATTTTATTCTATTCAGTTACTTGGCATCCTGTTTAGATCCCCCACCTCACTCAACTCCTCCTGTACCTTCCTCAGTCACTCTCATGTTCATGACTTCTTCTATAGTTGTCACACACACACACACACACACACACACACACACACACACACACACGTATAAATACAATCTGCTGAATCCATTCAGTGGTACTTGAATCTGTGCATTTAGGGCATCAGAGGTGCAATTAACTCTCATATGGTTAATTAGACATCTGGTTTGTAAAAAAGCATTCAGTGTGAAGCTTCTTTTGGCTTCATGTGCATTAGAAAGAACTTGGAGAGAGGGGAATAAGGGCCACACTTTCGAGTTTTGTCCTTCAACTCAGTCCTTGGACCTGTGGGAAATTTGTGGAAATTGCTGTCTGAACCTTAGGACGCACAGGACTGTTGGGTAACACTGATGCAATGAGAGACTATCTCAGCTTCTTGTGAGACACAGGGAAATTACAGCAGTTATTCTATAGCTTTCACCCTTGGCTTTGCGAATGGAAACCGTCAGCGGACATTGCCTGGCAAGACAGAGCGTGGTGGAGGGCACAGCTTGGAGATGTTAGCAGCATGGATAGCACTTCCAGAGCTGGGCTGTGAATAAGGCTGGAGACAATGAGGGTCATCTCAGACACTCCAAACCAAGCCAGGCCTTCTCAGCACCATGTTCCCACTCATGGCATTGGAACTGTCAGCAAAGATAATCACCAACTACTAACTACACTCTTTTTATTTGCACAGTGAAACCACCTTGCCAATCTGGTAACACAGGATTTCAATTCTGGCGCATGGCAAAACATGATATGTAAAGCAATCGCACGTTACTTTTACTTGTCGTTTTGAGACAGGGACTCAAGTTTGCTATGTAGTTGAGGATGGCCTTCAACTTTTGTTGCCCCTGACCTGCAACTCCTAAGAGCTAGGATGGCAGGTAGGTGCCATCATGCCTGATTTTATAGGGTGCTTAGGGTTGAACCCGTGGCCTGCTGCTTGTTATGCAAATGTTCTACCAAGTGAGCTACATCCTCAGCCCCATGACAATGCCTTTACGGAGAAGAGAACCTGCCACAGAACAAGATGCTGCTGGTTTTGTGGTGCCAGATGAAGAAAAGGAATGGGTGGTCAGCACAGAACCTTGGTTCTATTCTGCAGCACCGGGCATTCCTGATCACGGCAGTGGTCGCTGCTGCTTCCGTGCCCTCCTCATTGACCTCCACAAAGCACTTATGGGCAACCTTGGACACGGGCACATTCTTCTTAGTTGTCATTCCAGAAAAGTCAGCCTTTGTTTCCTCGAAGGCATCTGTCATGCCTAACTTCTGAAGAAAAGATTCCAGGTCATAACTCTCCTCCAGCTTTAACCTGGGGAAGAAAACTTGAACTTTGTTTTCTGTCATGTTTTCTGGGTTCGTCCAGGCTCTGAACTTCTCATACGTCAGTGATTTTTCCACCTGGAATGACAAAGGATCAAATTTTTAAAATTAGGAGGGCAGTAGGATAGTGCCTCTTGCATTTCCTCATCCCTTCACCCAGTGAGGAGTTCTCTCATCCAGGGATGGCTGTTTGACTTTGCTTCCATTCCTAGACTTTTCTAAATTTATTCTCAGGTGGCCATGATAGTTCCCATTCTTGACTTATGTCAACAGCTTTCAAATTATATAGAAAAGACAAAGTAATGAAGTCTCCTTGCCATCCACTCTGTATAGTAGCATGGTGCAGCTGACTCATGTTGATTTTGAATGCTTAGTAGCCTAAAGTCAACTCTGGGAGGTAGACACTTCCCTAGCTGAGAGCTGGCTTACCAGAACACTGTTGGTCACATACCTTCTACTCTGTAAATCTCTCTTTCCGTGGACTTTGTCCCTTTTCTGTCAATAGGAGGATTAAATGCAAACCCCAGACCCATAAGTAGATCTTTATAATCAAGGTGTGCTCCATGGGTCAACTACACTTGCTTCATCTGAAATCTTGTTAGAAAAATGCAAAATCTCAAGCCATTATCTGCTGAATTAAAACCTGAATTTCTCAAAAAAGTCCCCATGGGGTTCACACATGTTTAACATGTGGGAAACATTGCAGCAATTCAATGTTACCTTTCTTCTAGGATCTTTGTTCAAGAATTATTGGGCTATCAATAACCTCGCCCTCCTGAATTATAAAAAGCTGTTATATTTTCAGAATGTTCTCATCCTAGCTTCATCAAAACTTGTCTACTCCTAGATAAACACTTAAAAAAAGTACATTCACATGTTCACTAAAAGGAACACCTGGGTGCTTATCTAGCACTGCTTAGAAGAACCCTGAATCGGAAACTCTGTAAATGGTAGCCTGGAGACAGACTTAGAAGATGAGCTCAGCTGGCATGCACAGACACTCGGTGCCTGGGACTCACCGCAGCCAGATCAGTGTTTTCATCGGGAAGCAGAACGACCATGCACAGCTCCTCCTCTGCATAGGGCAAAACCAGGACCTGCATGTTCAACTCGTCCACGTGCCCCATCTTAAACTTAGCATGCTTGAACATCATCTGCACTGTTTTTTTCTCCTAATGAAAAAGAAATTAAAATTAGAATTCCAAAACAATAAGCACTATTCACTAAAAACAAGCTATCCCCAACTCCTGGGACTCAGAAGAGTCTAAGACGGTCATTATTTCTATGCACTTAGCCTGTTAAATGTAAAATCCTCATTAGTACATAGCAGCATTGAATGGGCTATTGTTCCTTGGATGAGGTATCCCTAGGTAAAAAGGGCACTTTGATAAATGGAGCAGAACAAAAACTTGACATTGCTTTTGAAAAAATTGTGTTTGTTTTTGAGAGAACACATAGTGAAGCACTTCCATAGATTTGCAGTTTAGCATTACTTTTCCATATTAAGAAGGGCATTCATTGCCATTCAGCCCTTGGACTGAAGGGTCTCATTTAGAAAGATGGACAAATTGAAGAGAAATACACATGTACTCTGAAGCATTGCCCGGCTGTACAGTGGGCTTCATATCTTTTCTTTTCTTAGGAGGGGACCATGACATGAGCTATACAGTCAGGCAGTTTTAAAGCTATACCAAACATATTTTATAATCATAAGCCTGCTATTTTTAAATTGATGTAAGTCAAATTCCATTTCATTTTTAAGGGGAATGCATAAAAATATATTTTAAATTGGAGTAACATCTGCTAACATGTTTTCTTTCATTAAAGATTCTATTCTCTTGAACTCTAAAGAAATATATCTGGTAACTACCATTGGTATAGCAAAATAGTGATAGCATGACATCAACCTAAGGACAAACTCAGGAAAGATCCTCCTACAACCCATATCATTTTCTGGAGAGGTAAGATGACCAAGGATGAGAAAAGAAAAGAAAAAAAAAACATCAGTTTACACATTATTCTAGTTTCTCTTTCTACCTCTAATTAGAGACATAGAAGAGGCATTAGTTTCATTCAGAAACAGATTAAGAATCAAGACAGTGTAAAATAAACTTTTCCTTTTCTCATTCATCACCTTTCCAGTATACTATTTCAAGAAAATACAATACATTGAAAGCCACCGCCATACCTGGTTAGTTTTAAAGGGCATGCCCCGCGTGTACTTTCTGTCAAACTGAGCCTTCCACTTCCCTTTGAAGTACATGGCATTCACAAGAACCAGCTTAGTCAGTGGGCAGACTGTTCCAGGACTCAAAACTTCTGAAATTTTCCCTGTAGAGAACATAAACACAAAATGTAAAAGAAGAGGACTGTAAGAGAAGTCTTCAGTAATTTGGGGATATGGTGGCAATAAGCCTTCTCCTATAATCAATTGTCCTGACATATAAAATAAAAAGCCCAGACTGGGTGGAGAGCTACTCCACAGAACTGTCCAAGGCATCATTTGTCCTTAAACAATAATCATGTCTTTTCCTCCTCATAGGACAGTCTTTTGCATAGCATAGACTAGCCTCAACCTTGCTACGGTGGAGAGTCTGCCCTCAAACACACAACCTTCCTCCTTCAGCCTCGGTAGTGCTGATGTATTAGGTATTTGCTAACATGCCCTGTGTAGAGAGAAGTTCAAAAGCAGGTATGGCTGCTATGGCTTATCCTTGATCCTATATGTGTAGCAGTTCAGGATGAGAGCATTGCTCCAAACTTCCGCCCAGTTCACAGAGGTAGCAGTTGGCTATACTAAGAAAACAACCCAATATCTTTGATTCTAACAATGCCCTCTTGGCTTTAGCACTACAATATCTCAGTTACATTACTATGGACATTTAACTTAGGATTACTTCTTGGTTGGGGGACAGATCTGATGTGCATGGTAAGGGATTTAGCTAGTGATAACTTCCTCAATTTCAACAGCCAAAAATACTCTCAGCCAATGTCAAGTGACAGTTGGAAAGTAAAATCAGTCCTGATTAAGAATCACTACTTAGTACTAATCCCCAAACCACATCTATATGATCAGAGGCTTCCAAAAGATCAGCAATATAGACCTATAGTGGGGAAGGAAGGAAAGCTACCAAGGGAAGTAAACTACAGAAAGAAATTATAGAAGCAGGATAAAGGGCTCAAATCCAGTTGTCCAGTGAATGGGACAAGATGATCTATACAAGATACCCTTCAGCTCTAACATTCTGGGAAAACACACAAGTGGTCAGCCCACATGAAGGTTGTGAAGAGATAGGGAGAACTGATGGTGCATGAAGGGCAGGGTTCAGAGCACCCCTTCACTAACTTATTACTATTTCATCAGTGGGAAGGCAAGAGCCCACTAGGCAGATATGTACGACCCATTCCCAAGCTCATGGGAGACTCTCCTCTTCCCAGGTTCATGGTTTGACTGGCTTTTAGTATCATCAAGATCATCACTGCTAATTCAAACATGGTGGGTGTATCATGCAAATTAAACGCATTACATACTGGGTTCTAGATTGTCTCTTCAGCAAGTAAATGACTTTCAGTTCCTCCACATTTTAGAAGTATCTAAGTTTCTTGTTCGTAATTTAGGGTATTCTCTTTTGCTCTATATTCAAGTCAAGAGACTAGGAATAAATCAGGTTTGTGAACACTGCAATCCCAATAATAACAAGACATTTGGACTACAGAGAAAATTTGACAATGTTCATGTTCTGAAACAATGGTCACCATGGTCATGTTAGGAGGAGGATGAAGTCTCTGGTGAACTGATGCTGCTCAGGTTCCCACAGGAAGGAAATGAGCCAACTCCAGCTGATACACTGTCCAAACTCCATCCCAACAGAAGATGGCTATGTTTCAGAGAACAGCAGGATTTTCCCTGACAGAACATTATCAGGTCCCCCAAAAAAACATTTTCCAGGTACTTTCCAGCACAGTTCAGAGGGAAACAGTTTGAGACTCACACTGGGGTACTTTTTAAATTTTATGGTTTGACAGTCCCAAGGAAAGACCAGCAGACACACCATCACAGCTCTGAGATGGGCCACATGAGCAACATCATGGAGGACCCAGCCCAGCCATCCAGAGACCTCCCAGTCCCTCCTAATTCCAACGTCCATCTAAATGAAAACTTCCTACCTTCAGTCTTATCCATTACCCAGTCGTTGATGTGCTTCCTGCACTCTTCAGTGTCCTTAGCAAAGGACAGCTCTTCTAGCCCTGCCTGATAGAACTTCTGGCAGGATTCCTTGAAGGTCTACAGACACAAACAGAGGTTGGACACTATTCATCAGTTTCTCACACTGTGGAAACAAGTATTTTTCCCTATCATAAACATCTGTGGAGGTGGCGCTGAATTTAAAGATGTTTTCATGTAATTCTCAAAAATATGTGGGCCTCCTATACTGCCCAAAGCTGAGACAGATGCTGGATGCTAGGTGAATATATGCACCTGACCGGATGCCCTATACACAAAGACACTTATAATGGGTTAGGATTGCAATTATCCATGTGCAAAGCACATACATGTCTTTTCCACACAAGGTGGGTTGGCTTTGCTTAACTTTGTTTCCCAACCCAATAGATGCTCACTCTTTTACTCATTAGATTGTCAAAAGCTAGAATGCTGACTTAAAAGTAAACAAGGAAGCAAACAGAATGTTTATGTCTAGAACACAAGGATTAAGAGGTTCTCAAACCCATTAGCAAGCCTCTATCTCCAAAATTATTTACATTATGATTCATAAGAGTAGCAAAATTACAGTTATGGAGTATCGATGAAAACAATTTTGTGGTTGGGGTCACCACAAGATGAAGATCTGTATAAAAGGGTTCCAGAATTAGGAAGGTTCAGAACCAACTGTCAGAGAACAGGGAGGGAACAAGGAAAGGTCTGTGGAAGTGGCAGAAGATATTGGGGATCATGGATCTTCACAAAGTATATGAATATGAATGTATGTACTTGTACGTGTCAGCCTCTCTGTATGTTTTTTTTTGTATCAGCAAAGTCAAAATATAAGTTGAAGTTAAATTAGGAGATTACCTAACACAACAGAACCCATATAACCCTACAAAAATGTGTTTTCAGATATATACATAATGATTAACTCTACTTCCTGCCCAATACCTATTCTAAAATGTTTCAGGGACCATGTATACTAGAAAAGTAGAATGTGAGTCATTGTGCTACTAATACTAAAAGATAAAGCTGACTTTCCAAATGAAAATGAATTTACTAGAAGAATGTGGGGCTCCAGAATCATCTCCAGTGATAGATGAGATCAAAGCAGGGAGCTGCCAGGTTACAGAATTTACCAAAGCCAGGACAGCATGCATACTCCAAAGAACTTTCACCCAACCAAACAGTCAAGCTTGTACTATTTACTTCACTAATTTCATGTTAGTGACATTCTGCATATTATATGGCATGACTGTTAGACCTCACGGTAGGAAGTAAGTGAGTTTGGGATTATATGCTCAAGCATGAAAACATTTTTATCTTAGAAAGGCTATTTTTTTCAGTGGTTGGATTTTCAAGACAGGAAATGGCCAATGCAGGTACAAAAAGACCCATTAAAAGCAACCAATAATAATGCGGAAGACCCAGCCCACAACCCATCAGAATCCATTCAACAGTGGTGATTTATAAGATAGAGTATGGAATTATAGGCATGGCCTAATGTTTGCTGGGTGTTGGTGGTGCACACCTTTAATCCCAGCACTCGGGAGGCAAGGCAGGAAGATCTCTGTGAGTTCAAGGCCAGCCTGGTCTACAGAGTGAGTTCTAGGACAGGCTCCAAAGAAATACAGAGAAACCCTGTCTCAAAAAAGAAGAAGAGGAGGAGGAGGAGGAAGAGGAGGGGGAGGAAAAGGAAGAGGAGGAGGAGGAAGAGGAGGAGGAGGAAGAAGAAGAGGAGGTGAGGAGGAGGAGGAAGAGGAGGAGGAAGAAGAAGAGGAGGTGAGGAGGAGGAGGAGGAAGAAGAGGAGGAGGAGGGGGAGGAGAGGAGGAAGAGGAGGAGGAGGAAGAAGAGGAGAAAGAAGAAGAATCAGAAGAAGAAGAAGAAGAGGAGGAGGAGGAGGAGGAGGAGGAGGAGGAGGAGGAGGAGGAGAAAGAAGAAGAAGAAGCAGAAGAAGAAAAGATGATGACGACGACAGAGTAGACCTTGAGAGGTTGTCTCAACAACATACAGCCCCAAAGCAAAGGTAGGATGGGGAGGGACTCAATATAACACGTTGGATTATATGGTCACTCAACACTCAAGGGCAAGAGAGAATGGGTGAGGATATCCACCTTGATGAAAGAGGAAACATATTAACTTCCACTTCACAGAGGGGTTTGTCTGGAAAGAATCTGAGAAGATATTAGTTAAAAGCAACCCTAAAATACATAATTACAATGTCACAAGTGTAATCCTAAGCCCATTTCTATGGTGAAAGAGTTAGACTTCATCTCTTGCTCTGCTTTAATTTTTGTCTTTTTTTATCTTTTGTTCAACGTCTTTTCCTCAATGTCTGTGGACTACATACCGAAAGGAAATCACATGATTCTTCTCCAAAGAGTCTGCAGGCGCTTTTCAGCAAGTACTGAGTGCCAGTTTTGTTAACTTCTGTGAGAAGTGTCTGGAAACTTTGATGAACATTTCCATCTCTGTTCAAACCAAGTACCTAGGGTAGAATAAATAAACAGACCACTTAACTTGGTCATTATCTCCCCTTCTACACACAAACCCAGCTAAGAGAGGAAAATATGAATGTTCCTATAGTACGAGGAGTCCAGTGTGACTGTCAATAGGTTTTCAACCCAACAGGCTGGCCATCTGAAGCCATGATGGGGCTGCCTAGTGTTTGCAGGACAGTGGCAGGACAGTGGCAGCATTTGTGTCCTCTACCCACTAGATGTCAGTAGCATCTCTCTGCTGTAAGAGTTAAAGCACCGTGTCTAGGGAAGCAAAATGCCCTTTTTGAGTGAGAGTCACTGGTCTGAAGGACTCATCTGTCCTAGAAAAGACACCACGTGATAACTCAGGATTGATCGGAAACATAAAAAGTTAGATAGCGGGAGGGAATCGGATAACTTGAGAACACAAGGGTAAAACAGCAGAAATGAAAAGGAAGAATTGTTGAAAAGTTTTTGTTTTTTCCAAACCAGATCATGACTTACATATCAAATTAAGGTGAGAGTTGAAGTTTCCCTTCTGACCCTGACCAAGTCTCCCTCCCAAGGTTTCTTCCCTAGTGAGCTCAGTGAGATGATCTCAGCTGTGGTCCCCTGGTTGCAGTGCAGGGGACCATCCACACACTCTCAGGCTAGTGGCAAAGTGATAGGCAAACGTGAATGTATGTGATGCTTTGCCATATGGTTGAAAATATGTCTCCAAAATATCACTGTTACCTCATTTGTAGATAAAGATAGAGACAACCATTTGATATCTGGCAGATTATGTGTTCCCTCTAAAGGATTCTCAGAGAACTAATTTCATACGTGTGCTCACTTTCTTGAGTTAGAAGTACATGTAAACATATCTGAAAAGCCACCCATCCCACAAACGCTTACTTGCACAGCTGCCTTACTCTTTAAAACATAGCAGTACAAAAGCTGGAAAGTTAACAAAGCTGGGGTGTGTCCTGTTCCTCTGGGTAGGACATGACTCTAATTAGCATCTTGCTGCAAGAGGTGAATTTATCAGAATGTTTGATGACTTTTGTCTAGATAAAGTCATCTAACACTCAGTGTCTCCTCTAAACTGTAGAGAGGACTTGCCTCACATGACTGTCCTCCTCCAGTACTGGCCCAGATCAGGATCACCACAGTTGTCTCTTCTCTACCAGTCAGCCGCACTGACTGCCAGCCACTGGCTGAGGATACAGAAGGAACCCCCGCTGTAGGGAGACAAAACCAACCTGCTATTTTGCTTGCCTCTACTACTCCTTGAAACTTCGCAGCAAACTTACCTGGGACATCTGGGTTGCAGTGTTTCCTTTGGCTCCCAGGTAGACCATAGCCAGGGCAGAGGAGATACTCAGGGGACAGAAAAACAGGTTTTGTGACTTGTCTTCTTCACCCAATACTTTTAGTAGGCTGATGGCAAAAGAGCCATTGGCTTCACAGAGGTCATCCATTTGAGAGGGTCTAGAAAGCAGAGCACAGAGGCCTTCTGTGGTCACATGGTCACCAGGGATTGCATCAGAGGACACTAGACATATCAGATACAATATCTGTACTAAAAAAGATACCCAGTCCCACCCCTAAGGTCTGGAAATATGTTGTTTTATTATCATATATAGTAATAAGTACCTTACTGCTGCCGTTTAATTAACGATTTTAGAAAGGGACACTGACCTACAGTATCAAGGAAGGTGTAATGAATTTGCAAAGGAGAGAGAAGAAGGAAAGTTTAGAATAAGAAACAGATGCAGGGAGAGGTGCCTGTGATGCCAGGCTACCAATGTGGCCACCTCAAAAAGCTGGAAAAGGAAAGCAAAACCAATATTCTCCCCCTGGGGGCTTGATGAGAGCAGGGTACCAGTCTCTGCTACACCACTTTTGGGTTTGGACCTCTAGAACATGGAGATAATGAATTTGTAATGTGTGCAGTCACTAAGTCTGTAGGAAAATGGACGGATTAATGACCTAAGAACCTCGGGTGGACTGAGAAGCTGGGGACCAGAAGGCAGACTTGAGTGACCACACCCGTGGAAGAATCTACCAAGCAGATCCACACACCAAACTTGAGGGCATCACCACTTCCAGACTGCAGGCAAGGTGATCTTTAGATGGACTCTTCGTTCTCAAAGTTTCCCTCTTTTCTGTCTTGTAAAACCCAAGACCCTATGCTACATGCACACATTCTCACTTCTGCAGAGAAACTGTGGTCCTTCAGCTGTTCTAATTAAAGAAAAATTCTGCTCCTGGACAGCCCATCTCCTTCCATTCATTTCCACATTGTCACCATTGGTATCTGCCTCAAAAAATAATAGAGAACCAATATGAAATCAAAATCAAATATCCCACTACATATATACAAATGTAACCAAATAGTGGCCCATGAATATAGGAGGCCTCTCAGAAGCAGATGCTCAGACAGCTTTCAAAACTCATTTAATCCCTCCCTCAAACATTTAAGTCCCTCCATTAAGTGGCCTATAGGGTAGCAGCCAGTCACTGTTCTCAGCATGACCTCTTCAGCCCCAAGGAAGGATACATTAAGGTCAATAAAGGCATTGTCTCAAGGGGGTCTGGAAGGCTGAGCAGAATGTGGAGCTTCCAGAGCTTCAGGGAGTCATTAGAGACTAGAATTCCAGGATTCCAGAGCCTCTGATTCCTAGTCATCACAGACACAAACAAAACAGAATGTTGTTATTTTCTCTTTCAATTAGATATCTCTAATATAATTATTTAAGAATGCTCTAAGAATCATAACTATATTTTTCTGCAAATATAGAGTGCATTTCTGTTACCATGTAATGTGAAAACTGGGATAATAAAAATTCACCAGTTTTGGAGGGTGTATTTAGGATGGTCTAACCTGAAATGTGAACTGTTGATGAAAAAAATTAAGTAAATTAGTAGGACTATAGAAAGATAAAACGTTTCCACAAGAGCTACTGAGACTGATGTGGGAACCTGCAAAGAGGGTGTGTGTGTGTGTGTGTGTGTGTGTGTGTGTGTGTGTGGTGTGGTGTGTGTGGTGTGTATGCGTGGGATGTGTGTGGGGATGTGGTGTGTATTTGTGTATATGTGAGTGATTGTGTGTGTGAGATGTGGTGTGTGGGTGTATCAGTAGGGTGTGTGTGTGTGTGTGTGTGTATACCTGTATGTGTGTTTATTTCACATGAAACCCAAACCTAGAAGCACCAACTTTGGATTTGTCTTGGCCAGGATGCCTTTAATCTTTCCCTCAGCTTTCCTAAACAGTAATAAAGTTAAACTTGACCAAATGAACAAACAACAGATACTTCCCCTTGCTTGGAGCCCTGACTTTCTTCCTCCCAAAGCTTACACTTTAGAAAACTTGTAATTGTTAACTAGGCTCTTTGCCCCTTTGAAATGTAAACTTTGTTAACTACCTTCAGCCAATTTTACACCCACACTCCCCAAGAACCCCTGAAGCCTTCCAGGGGAATGTGGCACCCAGTGGAGCCTTATTAACCTGGTTCTGGAAATAGTAATACCCCACTATAGGTCTGGTCAGGCAGCACAGTCCTGTTGTCCTGGTTACTCGGGAAACTGAGGTGAGCATAATGATCACAAGTTCAGTGATAATCTAGGCTACATACCAAGTTCAATACCAGCCAAGACAATTCAGAGAGATGCTGTCTCAAAATGGTAAGCAAAAACAGGAATTGATTGGCAAAGTCCTCTCCCCACAGTACACTCAGCACCACAAATAAATACAAACTAAGAGAACAAGAGTCCAACATAAACAGAAATCTTGTTTCAAGTGATTAAAAAGTAATATTATAAATGTTATAATCATTATAGTATTATCATTGTGATTAGTCCTTATTGATTAATCATTAACATTGTAATAGAATGTCATGATCATTATTAGTTGTTGCTGTGATTATTCTAATCTTAAATTATTGTCTTTCACAATAATTTTATATTTATTTATGTTTATTTCTATTAAACTTTATAGAAACCCTGGCTACTAGTTCTTAGAATATTTAGAGCTCACCAAATTAGTCGCTGTGCATAATTCTATGGCCCTACAAGCAAATTTTTAAATATGTTATCTTTTCTCCCATAGGCACACATAATTTTAGCTGGAACTTTTAAACCCTACAAGAAGATTATGTCCTAATTTGGAAAATTAACATCAATGTAGGAAACACTAGAAACTTTACCTAGAGCTGAATGGCCATACAGGTATTCATTTCCCTGTGTAGATAGATCATGAACTTTGCAATCATACTTTATAGGGGTTGCCAGGACTTGACAGTCACTTGTATCTCTCAGATGCATGAAAAAGTGGGGAGCTGATGGCTCAGACTGGGGGAGTTTCTCCATTATTAAAGGTTTTGTTTGGATCCCCCCCACACACCTCGCAGGGCAGTTTTTAAGAGAAGGCATCTAGTGTAGAACAAAATGTGACTTTTTTCCTGTCACATCATACAGGACCTGTCATCAAAGAGTGCAGGTATCAGGTCACATGCTCTGTTGTGGGCAAGCCCCCACAGAGCAGGATCTAACTTGTCTCCAGGCAAGGTCTGTCCCCACAGCCTCACCCTACACTTGACATTTCAGAAAATAGAAGTCTAAACAAATTTCACAAACTTCATCAAACACTCACTTTGATGGCACCAAAGAAACTCGAAAAAAAAGAAAATACAGTCAGACAAAAACATAACTAAATTCTGATTTGTTCCTACCTTAGGATAAAAATCTTAGGGTGTGTGCACAAGTGTGTGGGGGCATGTTTTCATCTTGTCTGGACAGGCCAACAGAATGAACTAAACTATTGCATGAAACACAACCTTACATCTAATTAGTCCTAATTGCAAACTCCTAATGGTTTCTTTCACATCTCCTTCCTTCATCTCTCTTCCTTATCCCCATTCTGTCTTAGCACCCAGGTAGTAGTCAGTAGCATACCACAGCTTATCAACAGCATATTGACTACATACAACACACACACTCTCTATTTCTCTCTCTCTCTCTCTCTCTCTCTCTCTCTCTCTCTCTCTCTCTCTCTCTCTCTCTCTCTCTCTCACACACACACACACACACACACATACACACACATACATAAACACACTCACATGCACACACACACACTCACTCACTTGTAAAGTGTGGTCCTGCATACTACAACAGTTAATCCAGGACAGGAAGTAGGTAACAAAATGACTCTATCCTTTTTTTCTTGCCTCAATCTCAGTTACACACAGACACTTTTGAGAAAGCTGGAATGTCAAACAAAATGGGCCTGGCCTAATAAATCTAAAGGGAAATTATTTGCAGTACAATAATAAATAATAGCTTTAAGGTTCATTCTATAACTAGACTATTCAACAATAAAGTGAATTGGCATTCAGCTAATTTTCATTTTTACAAGTGAAGAAATAAGGACAATGACAATTAAAAACTGTCCAGAGGATTCACAGGAAAAGTGACATTCTGATAACCAAGCTTTTTGTGTCTGAGTGTGTGACACCATTCTTCAGCTGGGAGCATGGAACACTCCTTTTCTCCACATGTCTCCCATATGAAAGCATTCAGAGAGCATTTGTGTTGTACTCTCCCTTCTTGCTTGTCATTACAGGGTCAAAAAGAATGGCACAGTGAATAATGCCTTGAGGAACTAACTGTGAGAGAGGCTCCAGGAAAAAAAGGAGCCTGGATTGTTCTTGGACGTGATTTCCTGGCTCCTGGGTTAAACATTTAATTTACAGGACATGTTCATTCTTGTTGGATGTCAGGACATAGCTGCAGAACCCAATCTGGTGACAGGACATGCTGAGTGCTGTCCTAGGATACCCTGACCCTTCTGCCTTGCTTTCACGTTTCCCCAGATATAATCTATGGTACATGCCAGGTAACTATATTTAAATTGGTCTGCCCTAAGAAAGCTTTGTTAATATTTAGTATGTGATTACTGGCATTTATTTACATGTTTTTCTGAACACAAACAGCCTCTGTCGGATCGTCGCTTTCTTTGTTACCTTCAGTATAAAAGTACACTGAGACTAAAGTAAAGTTGTCTGTACTAGGCTGTAGTCTACCCCATTCTTAGAGGCCCTCAATCCCAGGTCTCACAGACACAGATCTGCACAGGTCGACCAAAGCCAACAAATGTCTGAGGAAGAGAATAGGAAAAATAATTGTCAAATCCCTGACCAGGAGCATACACTGTAACCTAAGGGAGACAGAAACACAGAAATGCCTGGTTTCCTGCAGCAGATAATTTGCCAAGGATTCTGGACCAAGGAACTGCACAAAAATTGTGCAATTGATTTCTAATAGAATCCCATGTAGTCTTCCCACAGAAGTTACATCTGAAAACTTGAGCAGGAATTCCGGAGGCGTACAAAGGGGGAATTTCAGTCTGAGAAACTGGCACTCACACACAGACAGACACACACAGACACACACACACAGCAGATCATGTTTGGGTGCACTCGGGAGTGGTCTTGTGGAATCTTGTGAGACACCAGCTGACTCTCTTTTGCTGAATTTATGAGTCTAAACATGACCTAGGGGCTAGAAGCCATATATAGTTTTCCAACCAACATGTTACATGTAGATATCAGGCCTCAGGAAAATGACACAGCTCACCATTTTATATGGAAAGGGGCTGGGGAGTGTGTTAGTAGGCTGCTCCCACGGACCAGTGACTGTTGATATAGATGAGACACTGACTGGAAAAGTAGGTATTGTCAGGCAGAGTGAGGGCTGCAAATTAGGAAAGAGGGAGGAGGCAAGCATCAATGTAAAGCTCCCTGCTAAACGCATACTTAGGTCAAGAGTCCTAGGAAGTTCCTATGAAGAACTAGCTTGGAATGGGGAAGGTAATGCTTTCCATTTGAGGTGTGTGGGGCATACCAGGCCATCTGAGATGCTAAGATGACAGCCATTGCAATTTGGAGATAAAGGTAGGGCGGGGGAAAAAAGATGAGCAGACATTTCAGAGCAAGAGTTAGAGGCCCTGGGCATCACTCCAGGAGAGCCTGTGCTAACAGATGAAATTATTCAAATACTATGGATGGTGGAGGCACGCAAAGAGAAACCTTCCTTATTCTAGGCGATATCCAATATTTGAAGGTTACAAAAGGGAAAGAGAGAAGGGAGGGAGGGAGGGAGGGAGGGAGGGAGTAGAAAGCTGGTGCAGAGGACTTGTTTTTCCAATAACTCCAAACTAGCCTGAGGCGCAACGTAAATTCCTGACTTCAATGCAGATCACCACCACCCCCCCCCCGCCCGAGCATTGTTTTTGCACCCACCGCTTCTTCTATTCGCTGGCGTAAAAGCTCCAGCGCTCCCTCCTAGCAATCAAAGCCCAGGGCTTGGGGTAGCAACAGCGTCAGGGGCAGCAAATCCAGGAAGCCAGCCTGGGCGTGGGAAACACGTCCACCCGGAAGCAGGCTTGGGACCCAGAATGCGCCTGCGCTCTGCCGGTCTCAGCTCCTTCCCAGGCAGCTCAAGCTTAGACCCACGTGACCCCTGCAGCCCCTGGCCCACCTTACCTGCTGTCACTGGCTTCCTCTGCCAGGTCCTGGGCTCGTCCCTTTTACTTGGCTGGGATCCCGGCCTTCTCCCACCTGGCGTCTCTCCCTCCGGGCTCCTCCCCCGAGCAGCTTCTGTCCTGGGAACTTAGGGATCTGAGAGCCTCCCCCTGAGCTCCTACCTTGGATATTACTGCAGCTGAGGCTCTTGCTTCTTCTAAACTTGCTTTTTGAACAATCCAAGTCCGCCTTGATCTTGGGCAAGGCTCCCAACGGGTGACTCAGGTCCAAACAGTCTGTGACTCACTATCCAGAGTGGGACCTGGGAGGAGCCGGAGCCTGGCCAAGCGCCCTCCCATGGGGTGGAGGGCAGTCTGCTGACTCCTGAACCTGAGTTTGAGGAAAGAATGAGGGTTTAGTGCCCCAGAACAGTGTGGATGGCTTCACCTTTTACAGGACTAGTTTGTTTTCCCAGATCACTATGGGTTGCCTTTGTGTTTTGTGTGTATGCAAGAGCAGTTTTGCAGTTGAAATTTAACTTTGAAAATTAACCAAAGACAAAAGTTTGCAACTGCTGTCAGGGCATACAAGACTGTTTTGCTTAGCAACCCAGCTTTTGGCTGGCATCCTCAAAGTTGATCACGTGAGGATATACTGACTTTTGATCCCATACAAATGCCATAAAAGACACAAACAAAAAAATTTTAAACGCTTAAAACTAAGAATAAACATATTTGTTCAGCCAAAATTCATGTACATTTTTTTTCTGGAGATCAGCGTGATTATGTGTTTGTGTGTGCTCTCCTTCGATGTTTTGACAATGATTTGAAGACTTGGCTTAGTTTTGATTGATTACTAACTGGATTGTTGGCCATCCTAAAAAGTAGTCATCTCAGGAAATGAGCTGATTAAAATGTAATACAGGCTTTCTTTAATAAACCTTTACCCTTGATTTTTAACTTGTATGCTTGCTCATCTTCTTTGGTATAAAATATTCAAAAATTTAACACTCTGAGGTGCACTGGTCTTCTATTTGGAAGACAATTGTGGTGCTTAGAAAGCCACATTTCCAAGCCTCTGAGACTTGTCTTTTCTAGTCTTCAAAGCATGTGACATCATGTTAGGGTCTGAAAATCCAGGAATAATCCACCACAAAAGACAGGGCTCAAGGAAGCAAAAATTCAGTTAGAAAACTTGGTATCGGGGAGGCAGCAGAGTTCAGGTTCCAGACTATGTCTGTGAGGCAAGGGCAGCATCCAGTTTTAAATGGGAAAACCACCAAGAGACAGCTCCAGAGTCCCATCCATTCATAATGTAATTTGGCATGGGTTCTTTCCATGGTGACACACTTTCAGCTTGTCACGATGTTCTATGGTTTGGTGATTTCAACTGACTCTAAGCAGAACAATCAGAAGGGGATGGAAAGTATGTGGTTTACACCTGTGTGAGGAGTTTGGGGGCTGCAGCCTAGCCTCAGGAAATCGTGGATAGTAACTCAGGCAGAATGGCAGAATGGAACACAATGGAGTTTCTGCTGCTAATAGGATCTAAAGAAGAGAGCATATGATGTCAAAGCATAGGGTCATGTGAGGACAGGTTAAGTTACTGGGAGGATGATCGCTACAGTTTCTAAGAGCAGTTCCTCTCTCATTCACTGAATGAGAGAGCCTTTGCCTGCCAGGGATCGATTTTCCTTTTTTTTTTTTTTACAAAATAATTCTCTAGATATTCTTCTAGGAGGTGCTTACCAAGACAGAAAGCTCAGCAAACTTAAAATGGTGGTCCTGAAGAAAAAAAAGAACTAAACAAGAATTATAACAATATTATAACAATAGACATGCCTAAGTGGACAGGGGAAAGCCTAAGGAGCTTCAATAACAAATGGGCAACTCTAAAAGCATACATACAGGAAGACAGCAGGTTTTACTTACATATTAGGAATATGTATGTATATACATATGCTTATGATAGAGAGATCCATGAATGGAAAAAAAGGCCGTGGAACTGAAGGAGAGCAAGGAGGGGTATAGAGGAGGGTTTGGATGGACAATTTTTAAAAATCTGTAAGTATGTGATTAATTTTCCTTTAAAAACACTCTTAATCTGTACTTTGTGACACACCACAGTTGTCAGTGCCACTACGACAAAGAACAAACATGAAATATTGAGGCTTGGAGTGGTACATGTATGGCAAGATTGGAGACATGACAACTCTGACTAGTTTGAGGAAGGCAGAGCTTTATAGAGGAGTAGGTCATTGTCAAGAGGGGTCAGTGAGAAGTTTTCTTCTGTTGTTTTGTTTTGTTTTGTTTTCTCTGGGGGTGGAGGCTGTAAGGGTGGAGGGAGGATATGGAAAGAATGAGAAAAGAGTGGGATTGGGACTCCCCCAAAGAAAAACAATAAAAATTAGCATAGAAAATACAAACACTATTATGAGCTTTGGTGTTTACCAAAATAGTTTGGTAGTAATTGGGCTATGTATTTCAACACATAATCATTCCTAATCATTGCTTTTGAATCACAGTGCTAACACCCAGTGCCAGTCATCTCTTGCAATGCTTGCCTGAGAACACACTGGGAGCTGCTCCTCTCAACCTTATTTGTCATGGAGCAGCACTTCTCCCTCTGTATACATGCAGAGGCCCCAAGTGCCAAGCTGCAGTGCAGAAACATGTCTCCTGATTCTAAAGGCTTCATGGCTGTCTATTCCCTGCTTCTGGAGAGAAACCAGAAAGGCTAAATATTAAAGTAGGGTGACAATCACTTTGTAACAAAACACAATCCTTGCGTGTGTGTGTGTGTGTGTGTGTGTGTGTGTGTGTGTGTGTATGTGTGTGTGAGAGGGGGGAAGACCTTACCACACAACATGCATATCTAGATTTAATGTTTTTCCCATTCATGAGTTATGACCAGCTATCTCTCCCCTCTTCTTGCAATATCTTTACCTCTTTTCTTTCTTTCCTGTTTCTGTTTCTCTTTGGTTGAATTTTGCAGTTGTTTTCTTTTTAGGCAGGGTTTCCTTTAGCCAGGTCGCCCCCAAGTTCCCTATGTTGCTGAAAATGACCATGAACTTCCTGTCTACCTAACTCTGCCTTCTTAGTGCTGACTGCTGGAATTACTGACATGTGTCACACCATTGCATTTTATGCAGTGCTATGGACAAAAAAAAAACTGAGCCTTCTATCTGCTAGGACACCATCATTGAGTTGTATTTCCAGGCACGACTCCTTCAATCCTGAATCTTTTATCTCCTCACTCCTTGGGAGTCTTATCTGAAGCATACTCAATGTTTCCCCTATTAAAGCAAATAATTGCTTAGTTAAAAACTAAACATGACTAAAAAATAACCATACTTCATTCCTACATTTTCACGCAGAGCAGTGTTACAGTATTTACAGTCATGTTTCTAAATGCGGGGGCACTATGCCTTGACTGTTGCATTTTCCCACTTTTTTTCACAGTTCCCTGAAGTTTGACTTTCACACTAGTCTTCCCTGAAAATAGCCCTGCTGGGTCTCTGAGCTCTTCTGTCTGCTATAGGTTAAAGAACAAGCCCTGGCCCCCTTTCAGAAGTTAGCCCTTTGTTTTTGGCCTTCCCAGAATCTCCTGACTTCTTAGCTTTTCCTCCAGCTTCCTTTTACATAATTCTGACAGGAGGATGATGATATCTCAGAGTTGTTTTGATTTGCATTTCCCTAATGGCTAAGGATGTTGAACTCTTTCTTAAGTGTCTCTCAGCCATTTTAGACTCTTCTATTGAGAATTCTCTATTTAGTTCAGTCTCCCACTTTTTAATTGGATCCTTGGGTGTTTTGGAGTTTACTTTTAATCATATGGTGATGCTATTTTATATGAATTTAGTTGTAATCATTAATTCAAGTTTAAATTTTTTTGTCCATTCAATTGTTGTGTGGCACTGTTCCTGGGAAGACATGAATGAACATCTCCTTGCCCCAGATAGGAAACTTAAGGCAGACCAAAGCACAGATACCACCATCATTGGAGATACTTAAAAAAAATATTGGTGTGCTGGCAATTTTATGTCAATAGGACACAAGCTAGAGTTATTAGAGTGGAGGGAGCATCAAGAAAATGCCTCCATAAGATCAGGAAGGTAAGCCTGTAGGACATTTTCTTAATTAGTGATTATATGGGAAGGCTCAACCCACTTTGGGTAGAGCCACCCTGGGCTAGTTGTCCTGTGTTATATAAGAGAGTCAGCTGAGGAAGTCACTGGGAGCAAGCCAATAAGAAGTACCCCTCTATGACCCCTGCATCAGCTCCTGCTCCAGGTTCCATCCCTGCTTGAGTTCTTGCCTTGACTGCCTTTAGTAATAGACTACAATGTGGATATGTAAGACAAATAAACCGTTTTCTCCCCAGCTTGTTTTTGGTCATGGTGTTTCATCATGGCCGTAGTAACTCAGAGGACAGTTGGTGAAATGTTACTTACAGGCCATGAGATGAGTCAAAGATAGCTGCATCACCAAAGCTCGGCCAGTATGGGTAACAACTAATGAAAACTGGAAACTTGGAGCACACTGATCAACTTTCAGGCAACTCAACAGGTTCAAGAGCACCTTTCCAGGTGGACTGGTTTCCATGATCCATTTGCAAACAGCTCAGCTGGTCTCTGCTTCTAGTCCTTATTGTCTCGTATACTTGGGGAAGGAGAAGCCTAGTGAATATGGTCAGTCTCAGGAACTTCCTGAAGCTATGTTGACATATTTGCTTCTTGAACTTACTGAGCTTCCATGAAGGGTGGAAAATGTTACCTCCTCATGGAGCAACCTATCACTTCACCTGCTAGCACCTTTCAATGCCTTTCCTATCTCCATATTGTCAAAGCTGTGGCAGATGATCAAGTAGTGCTTCCAGGGTCCTCTCCTAGTGTCACAGAGAACACACTGGGGTTAGACTCAGAGCTGAGGGCAGTGACGGCACATCACTCAGCAGTGAGCTCGGGTCTCAGGTGAAGTGAAGCCTGTGCATGTGTGTATACCCACGACAGGGTACCTCCCATGAAGCATGCACTGCTCTCACAGCTGCTGCTTCTGTACCCTCCTCATTTGCCAAAGGTTTTGCACATGACCTTGGACAAATACGTATCTTGGATGGTATTTTAGAAAAGTCATCCCTGACTGTTTCAAAGAGGTCTACTACCTCAAATCACAAAGGATGTCTCCCATGCCGTAATTTTCAGAATTGGAGGCAGCTAAGCTCTTTCTCTCCTGTGTCGGTTTCCTTCTATTCATGTATTTTTTAAGCAAACATTTGTGTTTGTCTTTTGTTTATAAGAAGACTGATCATAATTCATTGACACTGTTCTCT